CAGGAGAGGTCTGCCAGGCCACATGGCTCAGCTCCCTGGCTGGGGATCGAACTCATGCTGTAGTAGCTGATGATAGCTTCATAGTGCCGCACTTTAACCTCTTGCACCATCAGGGAGGCCCAAGGATTTGGATTTTCTTTAAAAGATTTATTTATTCATGCATACAGAACTGGGGTATAGGCCAGAGGTACAGGAGTGCTGAGAGGATTCACCAGAGACAGAGTGAGGAGCAGAACAGGCAGATCAATTAAGTACACTGCTGAGGGGAGCAGCGGGTGAGACAGGAGAAGTCTGTTGCACCATGTAAGCAACCTCCCTGGCCGGGGATTGAACTCGCATTGAAGTGGCTGTTATGCCACCAGGGAGGGCCTGAATTTGGGTGTTTTTTTTTAAGGGTAATAAGAAAGATTGAAATCATTGAATCAAACAAAAAAGTGATGTGATAGCATTATGTGGCTTATAACAATCAGACTGGCTGTGGAGTGGAGAAGTAAAATACTGGGCTGGGAGTCAAGTCTGAGAAGGCAACAGGAATGCAATCCAAAAATAGCTAGATGGTGACTGGCTGGATGTACAGGGCCTGGAGGCAGGAGAGGTGATCCTGAGTTTCCCACCCAAGTGAAAGGTGAGGTTGGAGGAGACTGGACAGGCTCATGCTCCATGTCAGAGAGACTAGGTGACCCAAGGAAGGCACCTCAGAGGCAACAAGGTGGGCAGATGTGTTCAGGAGGAGGGTTGCACCAGATATTGGGTGATATGTGGCAACAACCCTTTCCATCTGCGTGGCACACTCATTCTTCATTTTTCATGATAGAGCCCCAGTCCACCCCAGAGCTTGATGGTCTGACCCTAACCTACAATCCCAAAGGTAGGCAAAAGCCCAGTCCCAGGCCCACATCACAGCAATGGTGCTGATGGGTTTCTAACCTAACTCCCTGGATTTTTGCAGGAGTCATGCAGAAAGGAGTAATCTTCATTTCTAAGAGATTGTAACTGTGGAAGACAAGTTCAACCAGGAGCTGCTGGTGGCCACCACGTGGAGAGGGCGATGAGGAGATAAACACAGATGGTGGCAGGCATAAAGCATGTTCCCAAACCAACACTGAACCCCAGGATCCAGCCGTGCCTAAAGCTGCCACTTCTCAGGACCCCATGATGCAAGACCCGTGACATATTTTCTTTGCTTCATCCAATTCAAAAGCTGGTTTTCTATTATTTCAACTAATTGAGTCTTCAACAACAAGGAGAGTGAAAAACCATTGGGAAGCTGAGACCACCCTAGGAAGCTGTACAGACTGTCAAGCACAGGGTCAAGCTGATGTTTGTGCTCCTCTGACCTGAGGAGCCCTGACAACTAGGGAATCCAGAAGCTTCCACATTCCTGCTTTAGTGTTCTTAAGACCCTATCCAGCCCCAGGGCAATGCCAAAGTAAGATGGGAAGAAGGAAGACCCTATAAGTGGCAAATGCAACTTCCAGGCACCCTTAACCCCCACCCCACAGTCCCACACCTGAGAGCACCTGCACACCACAACCAGAACCTGCACCAGACAGAGGCCAGTGTGTGACCTTTGAGGCAGCAGCCTCTTGGGAAAAAATAAAACTCGTTTTACTCCTTAGGCCAGTGACAGACTTCTCTCTGTAATTCCTGGTAATTCTTCATGCCCACCAAAACTGGTCACAGTGGGTGCCTGGCCAGGATGGCAGCCCAGCAAGGGAGCCCCAACCCCTAAGGCAGCAGCCGTAGTTTCCTTCGTTCATGAGACTTTGGGTCTCTTTGAAACTCAACTGTGCAGTTGGGGGAATCTCTCTCACACACTTATGGGAGCTTGACAGGCCCCTCCTCACATAGCAAGAGAAGGATGTATACGGCCCACTCAGGCTGCAGATTCAAAGCAGGCCTGGGAAGCCTAACCCCTCCACTGCCCACCCATGGAGGCTTCCACCTCCAAGTCCCTGCCAGCCAAAGACACCATGTCAGACAGGTCCCCAGAAAGAGTCACACTACAGGGGCAGATAGGGTGCTTCTGTACTACTGGGGTCCTTGCTACAGTGGCAGGAACTGAAGCCCAGAGGAGGTCAGCAGCAAGTCAGCAAGCCACTTGGCCAGGCCTGCCCTCCTGATTCCCCCTCACACTGACCACGATCAGTGCCTGTGACTATGGCAGTCTCCAGGAGTCAAGTAGGAAAGGCAGGACAAGTTCTGAAGAAATGCATTGATTCATTTGTATTCTTTCTGTCAGCAAGGGGAAGAAAAGCAACAAATGTAGGAGCAGGTCTTGAAGTCAAACACAGACTCCAAGTGTTTCCTTCAAACAGTGGTTTGAAGCAAACTATCTCAGCTGTTGGGAGTCTCAATTTATTCATCTGTAGAAAGGGGATAAAATCTAAGACATACACCAGAGGGTATGTAAGGGCGACACACCGCAATGGGGCAGAAGGGGCTCAGCAGAAACCAGGGACAGCAAACTGCCTTGCTGTTCTTAACTGCTGTGCCAGCAGCTTCTCATCAGATTCTTAATGAGCACGTCGGAATGGCTTTCTTTGTGACACACTGTCTTCTCATACATCGAGATGGCAAACTTCAACTTTCTCCTGTGAATATTATGAACACCTGTAAAAGACTCTGAAAACTACATTTACCCATCTCTGCAAATACGGCGTATGTCGTCCCTTATGATGTATAACATCATGTAGCATTTCTAGAGTCCGCCCTAGAATTTGCACCTTTGCAGGTCCAGGTTACCAATCTCTATCGTTTGGGGGAGCAGCACATCTATCTTCTCTATCTACATTATTCTAAGAACCCCACACCCTGAATCCCCTATCTGACCCTATCCTGGACAGAGTGATACCCACAGCTCAGCAGGAATTATCAGAAGAGGGGATGCATAGCTAGGTTCCCTTGATTTATCATGGGGCTCCACCTGAGAACAAAGTAGAGCATCAGCTCCCTGGCTGTAAACCTGAGATGAGGATCCTTCCCTGTAGGATCACTGTGAACCCCGAGTCCTTAACTAGCAGGCCTATACTGTAGAGTGTAAAGAGTTAAGGAATTAAATTGGTATAAAATCAGAGCAAACAGAAAGGAAGGGAGCCAGGGAGAGAGGGAAAAGAAAAACTAGTGATTCAGCCCCACTGTCTCAAGGTCACTACTCACTGAGAATATTCAAGGCCACTGGCAGGTCCAGCCCCTCTTCTACATCAGACGTCTTTGTCTCCTGTCTCTGCTGGTGTGTGCCCTATACATGTGCGATCACAGCATGCCCATACTCACAGGCCGTACATACCTGGTACTTCTGCCACGCCCATCCCTGTAGCAGGACTGCCAACCTGCACCCTTGGCTGCTGGTGATGCATTCTTCAAAAGCCCCCAGGAGCATGGTCTCCAAGCCCTGATCAAAATGCTCCCTGTGCTTGTCAGCTGCCCTGAGCATGTAAGCGCCAGGTGGGCACCCTTGCAGCCAACAAACACATTATGGAATGTTGGCTGAACAAATGAACCTCAAATAAGTGAATGAATGAATGAAACGTGAAAAGCCTCCCTCAAAATGTTCTTTATCAGGAATTAATTAGTACACAGGAGTTGGCCCACCAACAGGCCAACTCACCCTACCTCACTTCCCCCTACCCTCTGATTCCTGGCAATGACTTCCTTTTACCTAGGAATATACCTCCATTGTAAAATGAACCACTTCTATGAGGCCCAGGATGTTCTCAGAGACTAAAAAAAAATGTGATGGCTACACCATATTAACCCAGCCACCAAAGGACATTTATAGTTGTTTGCAACATGCCCAGGTTCTAAGTCCAACCAAAGGCAGTGATTTTCCTAAGCAACAAGTGACATTTCCTGTTTCTCCATAAAAAGAATACCAGTGGTTGTAGGGCTCTGGTGTAACTGCCAGCTCTGCACTGGGCAGCACGAGGGGCTCCAGGCAGCGCAGGAAGAGAAGCCACTAACTCAGAGCAGGAGTGCCCTGAACAGCAATTAGAGCGGAACCCGTGGTGGGTGGCTTCAGATGTCTGGCCAGCACAGCCAGCCTGACCACTGCACACCCAATCGAAAATAGAAAGCTGCAGTGGCTTCTGCTGCATGCCAGGCCCCTGGGAAGCAGGACAGAGCATAGCCAATGTCAGCCTACTCTCTAGCATCAATCCAGGCTTTCTCCTGGGGCCCCCTGTGTCGAACCATGATTCTTGTGGGCCCCCAAAAAAGACCTCCCACACTGGCTGGCCTATGCAATCCCAGGAGGAAACCTCACCCCAAGTCTTTTGTCCTTCAGGAGTTGCCCATGAACACCAAAGTTTGTATTTCCAAATGCTCAAAATAGAGAAAACCAACTTCTCAAATAACTAGCTACAGTTCAACAGGAAACCACAACATAAAAATCAGTGATACCCAGCCAACCAGAGGACAGATAGCTAACTGGATATTTTGGCACTACTGTCTGTTCCCTGGACTGCCACCACTTGCACACAGACACACACATGGCACACATGCTAAAACACATAGGAACGCACACACAACAGTCACCCTAACACATGAACCACCAGGAAACGACAGATACACATGTGCATAAGACACAACGGCACACTCCTATGTTTGAACAGGTGCCCAAATACCCAGAAAGGAGTGCACACTAACATTCCAAAACACATGTGCAGATGCACACACTCCCAGAGACATGCACACATTCACAGAGATGATGTGTACACACCCGGATGGAAAACAAACACCTTCCCCAGCGGCCAGAAAGGAAAGCACACTCACTTAGGAGACCCTGGACCTCCTTCTGCAGGAATCAGTGCTCTCCACCCAATCCGAATAATTTGTCTTCCAGTCACTGCTTTCCATTGATGTTCCCTTGATTCCTAAGCTCAAAGGTTGCAGAGAAGCTCCCCAGGCATGCCTTGCCCTTCCAGGAAACTCCCCAGGTAAGGGTTTCTGAAACCCAGGCAAGGACTGTGAACAGAGAGGAGCCAAAAGTTCGAACTCACCAGGCCGTCACAGTTGCTCAGAGCCACGGAGGAGGCCTCAGTTAGGCCGGCCACATCCCCGGTGTAGAGGCAGTTCCCAAGCAGTGGCTCCACACGCGTGGCGCCCGACTCGCCCTGCCACTCCACCGTGGCCCCGGGCGCCACAAGGCGGGAGTTGGGCCGCAGCCGCAGGTGCAGATCTCGACCGAAGACCGTGACATTGTAGAAGAGGCGGCCGCCAGCATCCTCCTCGCTGCCTTCTGGAAAGCTGGGGGTCTGGATGGGGGCGGCCCTGCGAGTGCGCACCCCCTCCCGGACCGTCGCCGCCGACACCACGTGGGATACCAAGCGGCCCCGGGCGTCAGTGCGCACCGGCACCGCCAGGATGCGCTCCGCTGGGAGCCCCAGGGGCCCGCCTGCAACAGAATGGGGCGTTAGACCCGCCCAGATGGTGGAGTCGCGGAACCGGCACACAGAGCCCGGCATCCCTGCGGACCCCACCATGAAGGAAAGGGCATTTCCCCCTGGCAGCCCCTAGAACTACGTTGCACCTCTCAGGCAGTCTTCCAACGGGGAGCGGCTGTCCACCTCCCGGACCCTGCCAGTCAGGAGCTCTGCTTCCCGTCCCATTCCGGTTTGGGGTTCCTCCGGCTCCTCACATTCCCCCGGGGGCCGCCCATCAGAGCGTCCCTCTCCCTTTAGACCTACCATCCTTGTCTGAGGTCGGGTCTGTCCGAAACCATTCCTGGTTGGACCCCTACACGTGCGTCTCTACCTCTCGGCGGGCCCCCAGCGCCAGAGCCCTCACGGCTCGCCTCTGGGGCGGCCAGGACTCGGCTCCTCCGAGTACGGGTGGCCTGTCCTCGGTGTCCAGCTCCCGGTTAGACCGCCGCGTGCTGATTCTCCCCCTGCGCCGGGGACAGGGAGGGGTGGAGGGTCTCCGGGGAGCTCCTCAGGGGCGCCACCACCAATCCTCAGGGCCCCAAGGCAGTGCGCTGGGCACGAACCCTGGATCTCCCGACCAGCCGCGCTGCGCTCTCCGCCGCGGGGTTTTCCCCGCCCTCAGTCCACACGCACAGCGCCCGGGGAGCCGCCAGGGTTCCGGGGCTGCTCCCGGCCGGAGGACTCCGGGTGCACAGCGAGAGCCCCCAGCGCGACCAACCCGGCCCCGAAGTTGGCCAACTTGGCCCCGGGCGGGGCGCGCGGAGTTTGCCCAAGTCGGGTTGGACTACACCTGGGGAGGGGGTGAGGGGCATGCGAGGCGGGGCCTGGCGGGCCGGGGCGGCGGGACTTCAGGGTCCAGTAGCACCTACCAGGGGGGTCGGCGGCCGTGGCGAGCAGGGCGTCCGCAGGCGACGGCGGCAGTAGGAGCGGCGGCGGCAGCAGCAGCAGCAGCAGCAGAGCGGGGCAGAGCAAGCGGCGAGCGGCTCCCGCCGGCGGATCCATGGCAGCCGGACCGCAGCCGAGGCCCTGCACTCGCAGCCGGCGCGAAAGTTCCCCGCGCGCCAACCAGCCCACATCTGGGGGCAGCTGGAGCCGCCCGCAGCTGCAGCACCGCAGGGCGCGGGGCGGAGGAGGCGAGGCGCGGAAGGGAGGGCGGAGGAGCGCGGAGGGGAGGCGGGGAGAGGGAAGGAGCCTGCGAGAGAGGGAGACAGGAGGGAGGGAGAAGGCGGCGAGGGGGAGGGCGGGGACGGCGGGCGCCTCAGCCTGCGGTGACCCGGCTCTTCTTGGCGCGGCCGCCGCCGCCGCCGCCGCCGCCTGCTCCCCTCCTCGCTCCGCGGCGGCTCCCCACACTCGCAGCGAAGCAGAGACACCCCGAGGCGGCGGCAGAGAAACGCCACGGGTCGAACCCAGAGAGCCCCGCCGCCAGCCACCCTTGGCGCACTCCCTGCTCTCAGCACACAATCTCCGTGGAGCAGCGCCAGCGCCGGGTTGGTCGTCCTCACCCAGAAAGTCCTAGAGTACTGGGTTCCCTCCTGTCAGTCCTGGGTTACCAGGAGCCGCCTCACCTTCTCTGTGCGCTCTCGTAGGGGCTGGGTGCAAGGCTGGGAAGGGGTGTGGAGGTCTGATTACTTGGTGTCAGGGCTGAAGTGGACCTTTTACCCAGATGGAGACCGCAGAGGCGGGAAGGTGTTTTTTATATGATGGTGCTTACCCTCCAGTGACTACCACAAAGATCAACTTTTTGCTCCAGCCCCCCAACTTCTCGCTGTCTGAAGTCCCTGTGCCCTTCCATCTGCCTCCCACAACCCTTCCTTTGCAGCCTCTTTGCTTTGGCTCTTCCAACTAAATTTAAAGCCAAGCTCCTAGGGCAAAGTAAAATGCCCTCACCTGTTCTTAATCCCATGTGTACTGTACATTCTAACATCCCCCAGACCCCGCCTGAAACAGCCTCTTTACACTCTGTCTAGCTTTCTCAACTCCATATCCAAGCATCTCTCCATGCTGGAGCAAGTTTACCATCAAAGGCCATCTCCAGCTGGAATCCCTCCTCTCCAGTGAAGTCCTGATCCTCCCTCTGCCTAGAGTCACTGTCCTGCGCAGTCTGCTGTCCCCCAGCTCAGTGACCTTCCCTCCACAGGTTCTCCATGGGAAACCTCTCCCAGGCAAGTGTGTATCAGAACATCTCTGCTCTGTGACTCCAGACTCCTCCCTCACTTCCCCAGAGAGTAGAGGGTTAGATACCTACCCTTGTGGGGATATCCTACACAGGCATATGTGACCAGGGCTTTGGGGTTGACCTTGGTTAGGCAGAGCACCATGACTTCAGTCCCTCCCTGCCAGCTAGGAGCACCCACATTTTATAGGGTAATGCATGACTTGCACAACTTGTACTAACACTGATTCCAGATCCTTGGTTCCATTGCTTCAGGACCCGAGTGTGACAGCACTGCAACTTGATACCATCTTCACCTGGACTCTTTCCTTCATGTCACCTGCTGGTACCCAGGACAGGGCCCATCCTTCCTGCATGTTGAGCACTTGTCAATGTTTAAAATGACAAAATTTCATATGAAAATTTAGGTTTCTGATTGTTCTTGAGAAATTACAAAGTGTGACCTTTGGGGCCCCAATTTCTACCTCTCCGCCATTATATGAGGCATGTGTAGTTTGTTATAGGGGACTCCCCCCTTCCTTCAGCAAATACACATTTTTGTGACCTCTGAGATATAGCCAGTTCCAGAGAAAAGTGAACAATGATCAGTATATGAGAAAGAGATGCTGCCTTCCAGAAGAACTTCCCATAAGAGGTGGTATGGGTTCAGTGCTGATGCCTGAAAGAGCCAGACAGATGAAGTAGATCCAGCGACATGCTATCTTAGAATCTATGACACCCTTCTTCTCATTACCCATGTTTTTATCCTCATCAAAAGGTAAATGAAACTCACCTCACCTACAGCAGCTCACCTATTGAAGGATCAAGCCCTACTACCTTGCTTCCCTGCCAGGTTTATACTCGAAGCAATCCTTCTATCACCATCACCATCATTATTTCTTTATACATTACTTAATCATGTACTTCCATTTTTAAGGGATATTTTAAAACACTGCCATAAAAGCCCAACATCTTACCATAAATCAAAGATAATTGCCAAATAAAATGACAACAGAAAGTGTTATCCAATTCTAGACACTACTGCTTGCAAAAGACATAAAGGCTGAAGCTGATTAGCAGATTTTGTAAACGTGGTGAGACAGACGAGCAGAAGCAGAGCTCTCTCCCTTGATACAGTAGAAACTTGGAAAGCCTGCTAGCTGATGATATTTCTTGATGGTTCGCATAACCAAATTATCCTTCATTTTCTGGAATACCAACTCAAAAATGTTTTTTGGAAAAGACTTGTCTCCCTGACACTCCAGAGTAACCCCTGACAACTGTTTCTTCCCATATCACCCCCCAGCTTCCCCGGGCTCTACCCAGAGAGAGATTCCTCCAAGAGTGGGAGGCAGATTACATCCAACCTTTAGTCCCTGCAGCACCCTGCATGGTTGAGTGGGTAGATCAGGCACACAGCATTAATATTTGCAGTTAATTTCTCTGTCTGGGGACCCTTGTAGACAAATCGGGGCTTCCTGATCACCTGCCTTTGATGAGGTCACTGTCCTTAGCAGGCCTTGTCTGTGCTGCCAGCCACTAGTGCACTAGTGGATGAAGGCAGTGAGGTTTCACTGTCCTCCCCATCTACAAACAAGCTCCCAGGTGTTGAGAGGAGGGACCTAGATTTTTCCAGTGCTCTGAGGATCTGTGTGCAAAACACAAGCTATGAGACTTAGTGATCTTGTCAAGGAGTCTTAGAAGACAGTACCCTCTATCCCCCTCCACTGTTGGCGGACAGGGCTACAGTAGCTCTGTCCTGTCCAGTGCCCGGGTAGAGTTCCAGCCAGGAGCAGCCTGGTAAGAAATATGTCAGGGAAACACTGATTGAACAGAATGAGGTGGCCTGGTAGATTTTGGCGAGTTCATGCTGTGTCTGGAACATTCATACACACACTCACACTGACAGGGAGCTGTGTCAGGCATAAATGGAAAACATGGGTGACATCCAGCAGCGATTTGCTTTATTGACCTGCTCCAACCGGGGGGGGGGGGGGGGCGTCTTGTCACCCATGGATCAGCTCTGCCTGGAACTGAAAGGCAGTGCTTGAGGTCTGGAGGCTTAGCGATCCAGGCTCAGTCAGCACTTCTATGTGGAGACAGATGGGCTCAGGCTCAATCTAAATAGCAAAGACCCAGAGAAGAAGAAAAGCTCAGTGTCCACCGTAGTAGGCGGCAGCATGACCCAAGAACTGTGACACAGATATGTGGGTGTGGCCAGTTGGGATGTCCTGGGTCCACTTGGATCAGGGTCTAAAACCCTGGGCCCACCTGTGTCTGATCTGTCACAAAGGTCAGGACGGCCATCAGGTCTAGTTCTCCCAGTGAATAAAAGCCTCTGGATCCCTACAGCCTCTGGGTTCCCTAGCTATAAATAATATGGCTGCTTGAACTGTGAGAAGGGAATGGATGTGCTCACAGTCCAGGTCTGCAGGGATCGGGCTCCAGAGCTCAACCATGGCACCAAGCACCCTGGCACCTGAGTATCATCTTTGCCCTGATCAAGCAGAAGGGTGGCCAGACCACATGTAAGGCTCCTCCCAGAAGTGCTGGCTGACTCTCCTCTGCTCTGTGGGCCAATGTCGAGTTGTGAGTAGTGCTGAAACAAAGTGGACAAGCTCTGTCTAACCAACTGGGGTAAGATGACATTAGTGTCACCCCAATGCCCCAGCACCTCGTTTGCCTTTATTTTCAAGTGACAACATTACACCTTCCCAGGCTTACCTCTGCTGATGAAAGAAGCCCTTCCTCACATGAGTTTGCATTTACATCCCATTCCCAAATGACCTCATCAGGAGAATATAGAGAACTGATTTCTTTTTTAAAGATTTATTTATTTATTCGTACAGAAGTGGGATACAGAGTTGGGAGCAGAACAGGCAGATCAACG